AAGCTTTGACTGGACCAATTTCCAATAAAAGATATTACTTCACCTACCTTGTCCCTTTTCTAGGCATGTGCCAGTCAACTTTTTGTTTGAAATTAATTTAAAAGTATCATTTTGCTCAGGTTTTATTGGTCCACTCCTTTGGAAAATAGGTTACTTTGGCCCATGCAATGCCGCTGTGTTTTGAATATTTGCTCTACGAGTGACCCAACGTACTTTCAAGTCAGTTAATACATGGACACTGTACTCTGGGAGATGCTGGCTCACGACCTAAACCAAGTTGTTGAGTTGAAATTTAACCATATAGGCTGCACTATGGTACTGTACTTATTGCCACATATTGCAACAAACAAAGCTAGAGTGCTCAAAGGCAACAGTCTCTCAGTGGCTACAAGCTAGGTCAGCGGTTCTCAAACTGTGGGTGCAGAAGACTACCTTTTAATGGGGTTGCCAAGGCTGGCATTTGACTTGCCGGGAGCCACGGCCAAAGCCTGAGCCCTACTGCCCAAGGGTTTCAAGCATCAGCTCTGGGCAGGCCTCCCTGCCTGAGGCTGAATTGCTTGGGTTTCTACTTTGCCCCCCCTTTCCCCCCAATTTGGGTGGTGGGCCTCAGGCAGACTCAGGCACCAGCTTCCACTTTGGGGACATGTAGTAAGTTGTGTTAGAAAGGAGTCATGATGCAATGAAGTTTGAGAACTGTTGATCTAGGGGAAACTAGAATTGTACACCATCATACATTTTTGTACAAGGCATGCATACCCTATTGGAGCGGGAATACTGTTTTTATTAAAGGATTTACATCTCAACTATCAATTATTGATTACTGCTATCGTAATGCTAGCAGACCTTGGTCCTCTGCAGGTAGAATCATCCTTGGGAACTCTATCACGAGCCAAAAGCCAGCCGAGTATTGGCTAAGGCTATAGAGCAGACTCGTCATTCTCTTTGTAAGTCATCTATGTGCCACTGGAGGGGACAGTGCAGCACACCCAGCAAGTGTGTGGGTTACACTATGCAAAATAAATTAGAAAAATAAAATTGTTTTCATTTCCCAAAATGGTCTGGCAACCTAAAGAATTTGCAATAGTCTGCCAAGACACAAGTAAAGGTGATGATAGCACAACATTCTACAGAATGCACTTTTCTAAACCCCTGCAGCTAAAGCTGATGGACTTTGGTAGACAAACAGAAAAATTACAGATGTACCAGAAATTACTTCCTCTTGCCTCTAAATCCCAAAGGCATCTGCGGAACAAGGATTTTTTTTCTCTCTATTAACGAGTTTGCTTTACAGAAACTTGAGTGTTGCTGTATTGTAGCAGCATGGCAGCTCTTTGTACACTCTTGTGCCAATAGTGATTTCTACCATGGACATTGTGTACTCACAGACAGCTGACGCTGAGCACATCCTCTGCCTCCTATAAACAAAGCTATACAATACCTTGCATCTGAGGGAAGTATCAGCTCTAAATGCAATAATCCACTCAGCTCCTGGCCTTGCTTCTGGAACTGCTATTGCAGCACTAACAGTGGCTGCTCTGTGCACTGAAGTAGAAAAGTGGCGAAGATTTCACAGAAATAGCTGAGTGGCTACACAGTAGCTGCTGTACATCTTTCTTAACAGCTTCTTGGACCACTTGATGGTACACAAATGTTCTTTCTATAGTTAACAGGAAACTAGTAAGTTTATAAGACAAAAACAAAACCCATCCCTCTTCTGCAAACCACTAAAGGAAGGACTAGTCCATCCCAACAGATTAATGAATTATTGCTTAGGCTGATGGTGGGATAATATTTCAATATTGAAAATCACTGGTGATTTGGCACATCCTTGAGAGTTCATCAGCCTACCTGTGAAAGCAAGGTGTAAGGCACTATCGGTTTACTTTAGAGAGACTTGTTAAGTACCTGTCTACAATTGCTGGGCTCCCACATTTCTAATCTCATGCTTCCCTTTTGTTAGGAAATGAACTGTGTACTTCATGAGGTGTGTGATGGCCTTTCCTTCTCCACAAAGGCATAGAATAATATCCAGCTGAGGGTGCAGAACACAGCTGCTACATTCACATGTCCATGCAAATAAATTAACTGTAGACAATCACACATAATACTGAGAAGTTTCACATTTCTATGATACATCTGTGACCTTTCTAGGATCGATGATACGATGTGTGTCATGCTTTCAGCAGTATGGTACCAAGCCAGGAAGCTGCTGAGGACTCACTAGCTGGCTCAGTAAAGTTAAGAGGAATAGATTGCCTCTGGGGTTTAATAAAGGAACATCTTTATTAAATTGTAACCTTTTATATTGAGATTTTATAAAATGCGACATGATGCAAGTCCATTAATATTTACACTAAATAACTGAATATATACACTGACAACACTGGTTTGCTCTACAAGCATTTTAATTTACAAACAGCAATTCCCATTGACTTATTATTTATACCATAAAAAAAGCAATGTACACGCAAGAAACAAAAATTCATCAGAACAAAATAAAGCAGCACTGAAATATTCATGTCACAAATCTAAAACAAAATGAATACAAGTGTAAAATATCATTTGAATAAATATTTTAAAATCCATGCTATAAAATAATCCTTAATGGCAAGTTATTAGTTGTTACAGTATCAGCTTAGCTAGCTTCATTTACTTCATATAGTGATGAAGTGTGGAGTTGTGAGGTTACCAGTTTATATTGCAAGATAATGACACTGAGTTAAGTCATTCAAACTGTTCAAATATTTATCATAAAACAACTCTACAAATAATAAAATTTATTTAAAAATACAATTTTTCTGTTAAGGGAAATAAATGCTATTAACATTGTGCAAATAAGTAGCGAGTTCTACTTCTAATCAAACCTCCAACCAAAGACTTGCAATAACAAGTCCAAAGGTTCAATTCATAGTATACGCAAACTGGGGAGACAGTGAGTTATTGCATCTGTTGTAACAGTAGCTGCCTATACAAGCTATAAGCAAGCCTGCTCAGCTATTGATGCTTCACATCCTCTGAATAAACACAGGAACAGATTTGTCTCAGGCTTACTCATTAACATTTTTATGTAAACTTGTATAATTAAGTCAATATTCTTTATAGGGATGGGTGAATAATACACTGGACTTTTACTTATATTAAATATAATTATTCTGGCACTTGTTAAAAGATATGTAAGAAATGCACAATGGTTTATACACTTGAACATTTTGAATGACTTTACTAAACTTCTGGTTCAATCACTGAGTATTTGAAATATACAATTCATGAATGAAACAGATTCATATAAAGAATTTACACAATTCCCAAATACTTTCAAATATAAAATTTAATAAATAACCCTGACCAGTCTAAAAGCACCATTCAAGGGTAAATTTCCCTTGGAAAATAGATTAGGTGTTGCATATTTGAGTCCCTTTCAGTGGTTTCACAGGAAACCCTTTCAGAAAATGACAATAAAAACAATCACAGTAAACTAAAAGATTCAAATAAAATATCTGAAAAATGATGAAGCTCATTAATGTCAATCTTTTCCCAGCTCCTACTTGTACTCCTGCTATTCTTCCCATACTTCAACCTAACAAAGTTATAACAGGCCTTATTGTTTTGGCTAGAAATAAAACGGAAGGCTTCAGCATAAAACATTTCCTCATGCTTGGGAAGATTATAATATTTAAAAACTATAAATTTAGGCCTACAGTATATTCTGCAGAACAGTGAACAAACAGTATCCTTTATGCTATTAAATATCACAATAAAATGCAGAACCATTCATGAGACTCTGTTGACTAAAGCTGAACTGAAACATTAAGGTATTTACAAACTTATTCCCTAAATGTATTTACAACTTTAATAGAAATTACATGGAAGATAACTGATTAGGAAAATTAAAATAACTATTTGAAACAAACCACAATCATTAGCAAAAGTATAAAATTCTTTGTTTTCACAGTTTGTAATAATAGGTTAAACATCTAGAGGAAAGGACACTGTCATTGTTTTCACATTTGTCTATGTAATCAAAAGGTAGATCAAGAAGAGACTCAATTATGAACCAGCCTTGTATGGTTTAATGATGGATTTCACTGCCAAATATTTCTTCACATATTACTTATTTTATTGACTTCTGCATTTACCATAAATGAAATGTGTAAGTTCTGTGCTAACTTAAAACTGTACAGAAATAGGTACTGTACAGTGCTTTCAAAGACTGCTTAAAATAACTACACAGCATACTTTGTCTTGGTAAACTTGTGAAATGAACTTCAAGTGGATAAAATGTTTTAAGTTTCATGGCAATGTTAATCCTGGCAAACCATCATGTGACAAGGCACAATTAATTGCTGCTGCCAGATTTGAAGTTCATTTTCTACCAGATTCACACACTTTATAAGTTTTAATGTAATGTTCAAAGATGCTCTATGCTTGCCT